GTGAAGGCCCTGGGAGCCGCCCGTGCGTGCGCTCCGCGGGTGCCCGGCGGGAGGGAACGCGGCTGGGACACCTCATGCGGTGCTTTCAGACCTTGTGAATTGAGCGGAGTTTCTGCGTGTTTAGCAATCCTCTGAGAGCTTCTCTCTGCGTTTCTCCGTGTTGCTTTGCAGCACTATGGAATTCAGCCACCGAGAGGAGTTCTGCAGATCAGCAACACCTTGTGTTGTGAACCAGCTCCCTTCGGTTCTACTGTTTCTCTTTAATGAGGTCTCGCAGCCTTACACTTGCTGCCTTCTAGCTCTTGCCTGGGAGAACAGCAGTTGCTCTCTGCCCGTGGTGTTTATGACAGTGATGATTGTAGGCTCTGTCATACCCTCCTCAGTTACCTCTTGCTTCTACTCATTCCCCTGCAAAGGCTGTTCTAGTCTTTGGATGTCTCACTACCTTTCTTGGGCCTTTTCTAGTTTCAGTGTTTTCTCTGCACGTTGTTAGGATAAAGAGATCATAAGTGCTGTTTGGTTTCATTCCATATGTGTTGGTGTCTTGGAGCTCTTTACAGTCCTTCTTAAATTTCTTTATAAATTCTGCCTCATCATAGAATCAGAATTTTAGGGGTTGGAATGGCCCTTACAGATCATCCAGTCCCACCATGGACAGGGACACCTCTCACCAGACCAGGTTGCTCAAGGCCTCATCCAGCCTGGCCTTGAACACTGCCAGGGTTGGAGCAGCCACCACCTCTCTGGGCAACCTGTGCCAGTGTCTCACCACTCTCACAGGAAAAAGCTTTTTCCTAATATCTAGCCTAAATTTCTCCTCTTTAAATTTGTACCCATTGCCCCTTGTCCTGTCACTGCAGCTCCTGACGAAGAGCCTCTCCAGCTTCCCAGTAGCTCCTTCGTATACTAGGAGGCTGCTATGAGCTCTCCGTGCAACCTTCTCTTCTCCAGGCTGAACAGCTCCAACTCCCTCAGCCTGTCTTCACAGGGGAGATGCTCTAACCCTCTTACCAACTTCATCACCATGCTATCAGACACCATTCCCATGCAGACTTTGGGATCATGATCCATGATTTTCCAGAGCCACCGTATCAGTGTTCAGTGGCAGCCAGAAAAACACGTCAGATGTTAGAACTTTTTAGGAAGAGAAACAGAATGTGGCAGAAAACAAAACAACAGCATAAATGTGATCACCTGCGTCTTAGACATTATGTGTGGTCTCCTCATCTCAAAAGAGTAAGTATGTTAGAAGCATTCAGCAAGGATGAGCATGGAAAGACTTTTGTCAACCCATCAGAGAGGGTTAAGACCCTTCAGGCTAGGAAAGAGACAATTTATGGAGTGAGGGAAGGGGATGACTTACAGGTGTCTGTGGAATGATGTGTGGAGAGAGTGTTCGAGGACTCGAGCACTTTCTCTTTGATACACCAAATGTCTGCACCACATGGAGTGGCCACTTTCACAGCAAGAAGAGGTAGTTATTCATAAAATCATTGATAAATTTCTTACCAGACAACATTGTAGATTAAAAATTTTTAATGGGAATTCAAGGGACACTAGACAACTGTCTTTTGAGAACTGTAGTCAGTCCTTTTAGGATTCCAAGGCCTGAAAAATTGCTTCCAGTAGGAGAGATCCTTTCTCTGCCTAGGCTTTACTGTGCTGGGTTCAGACTCCCTTGGCGCTTATGTGTGGGTTAGTTTGGCCACCCCCTGATCATTGTCTGGTGTCACAGGGTTTGGATCCCTGTACACCATAATGAGCTGAACCTTGAGCAGAGTGCAGTATCTTCCTGCTTTTGAGGTTTCAGGGCACGTGTCCAGCCTTTCAATAACTCTCCAGTCCCTCAGATCAGGACTTGTTTACCTCCAGACGGTGGTTGCAGCCCCTTCCAGGTGATTTGCATTATGGTTGCACACCATTTTCCAGCTTTTCTTGGTGTGTGCTGCAGATAACATAGATGGTGAGCTGTTTGTCTCAAGACAGACTCGGGCAGCTTGGGAAAAATACAGACAATCCATTTCATGCTCTCTGTCTTCAGATCCAAGTTACTGTAAAATAAAATTTTTAATGTAGATAGCGTGGCTGGACCAGCACTGTCTGAGTTACAATAACTCTGAATCCCAGGGCATTCCTAAAATGCAGCCCTGTCTCCCCATGTGGCTCTCTTCCCGTCCTCCCCCAAAGCTTTCAAGGTTGCTTCTGGTCTTGAGAGCAGTGAACTTTCTGGAAGAGGTATAGAGGGGCTTTCAAACAGTAGAACTGTCTCCCCTGAAGGAATTTACAAGTCTTGCTCACATAAACTCCCTTTAATAGTTTTCTGATGTAGTTCTCATGCATGAGAATGTCTTCCTGCTAATGACCTGAGTCAGTATGTGTATGTTCAGAAAAATGGATTGAATTTTCAAGGCATAATACTTCCACCATATGTTCTGAGTTACCTCTCTTTGCAACCTCACAGTTAATTACTGCTTGGTTCCTGCGGCTTTAATTTACAAACCAAAAGGAGGCTATTATAAAAACAACTGCAAAAATATTAATAGATTAAAGCTGTCTGTGGCATTATGCCTTTTTATCTGCTGAAACAGTGGGCAATTCTTAATCAGCAGTCTTATCTTTGCAGGATTTAGTCCTTGCAAGTGCCTGTATGGGCATGAACAGAAAATCAAAACATTTCAGCTTGTGACTTAAGAACTGCAACTTTGCATCTGTTTTAGTTTCTTAGTGTCAGAGCAGTATCCTTGCTTAGGGGATAACAGCAAACCAGATTACTACATGTATCATTCACTTAATAAAAAAAGGTTGTGAGGTGAGTGATCTTAAGCTTCTAACATCTGTCCTAGTGAAAATAAATTATTGCATAGGGCCGAGAATGGATTGTAGTGTTGTATATTGCTAGAGCATTGTGGCTAGAAACTGTGTGATCTGTCTGAACTTGCAGTCATTTTTAGAATAAATATTTTCAATACTGCATAATTTGGTAACATAAATGTTTTTAAAGCATTCAACAAAGACTACTTATGATTTTGGTTTTCCTAGGTAGTTTGAGTCCAGAATTCTCTTGAGTGAGGCAAGGGATATGTGGGTCATAGGTGGGTCTTTAGGCCCTGAACGATTCCCTGTTTGGCCAGCCTGGCTGGAGAAGCCAGCAAGTCAATAAACAGTCCTGTGGAACAGCCAAGCACTTTCCTCCTACCGCTTGTAAGTGTGTTCATGTCAGCGGAATGGCAAACTATGAGTTATCTCACAGTGTCACGTTAAAGGTACTGCTTTTTCAGCAACTAGAAGCTGTTCTAGGAAACTTTTGTCTTGAAAGCTCTGCTAGGCTGGAAGGAAGGGTGGGAGGGGAGGAGACTGCCAGTTCTGGCTGTAGGGTAGGGAACAGGGAGAAGAAAAACCTTGAGCAGCTATAGTTGGAAGGGCACGTAACGTTTGAAGTCGCACACCATTCCAGTGGCACGTGGTTCCCGCTGACTTCTTCACAAAGACAGGTGTACTCCTGTGTCCAAGGTCTGTTGAAGTCATTGCTCGTATGCTAGTTCTTAGATCAGATGCAGAGAAAATGAGTTCTTTGACAGATGAATCTTTTCCAGTTTCTCCAGTACTTGTCACATGTGGGTCGTTTCCAGCACCTCTGTTCCATGAGGTGGCACCATCCCTTCTGGGAAGGACACAGACACTTCAGCTTTCCCCCTGGGCAGAGGCTGCTGTGCTGTCTGGAGTGAGCAGGGCTCAGGAATGCTGTGCAGCATGACCCACTTCAAGAGCTTCCTGAAAATGGCTGTACTTTTCCATCAGTACATACTGTGTCTTTTGGATAGGAGTTATGTCCATGTTTTACGCACAAAATGCACAAGTTTTCAGTACAGTAGGGTTAGAAAAACATCTTTATGAGCTTCCTGCCTGCTTTTTTATGTGGGTTTCTGGCATTCAGAGGAATCATTTTATTGCATGGAAGTTAAAGCCAGGTGATGGTGAGTTGGAATGTTGGTTTACTTCATTTTGAGTCAAAATTGTGTGACCTTTGAACATGGGAAGGAATGACCAGTAGCTGTCGTTATTTCTAGGAAGGAAGGGAATAATTTCTGTAGGATTTGCCAAACCAACTAAAGGTGGGGTTTTTTTCTGCAAGGTGATCCAAAAAAGGTATATGGATTCAGGAAACCAAGAGCTGTAATGACAACTTCCCTGTAAGAATACAAGCCAAATCTGTGTTCTGCAGAAAGGGAGCAGTGTTGCTGCTGCTCCTGAATTCTCTGTGGAGACAAGCTATTTCCAGTCGGCCTCTCACTGGTTTAAGAGTGCCCGAGCAAAGGGAATAGGTTTTCTCTTGTTAGGAGGTTTTCCTCATTAGCTGCATTGTTGGTGGAAGTTGTTTTACCTCAGGAGATTGTGGCATTATTAAAAGCATTCACCACTGACAAGGGTGGTGAATAACTTTAATTAATTTATTTTGTTCTGGTTGATGTCTAGGAAAATGGAGGATGATGACGATGACATTCCCCAGCTTTCCTCCCATACGTTGGCTGCCCTCCAGGAGTTCTATTTGGAACAGCAGCAGAGAGAGGGCATGAAGACCTCCCAAGGGTTTAATCAATATTCCATTGGCTCAATAGAAGAAGACTGGGTAAGAAACCATAAACTTCGGTGAGTGGAGCACAGATAGAGGAGTAGCCTGTACCAAGTTTCTGTTGTGGATGGATAATGAAATGAAGTTAAAAAGTGGAACACTCAAGATGTTCCTGTTCCTGGATGGTAACACTGTAGGGAGATTTGCTTTAGTATTAAATCTGGTCATGGTTGTCTGTTTTGCATTTGTGTGGGGGGATACAAACTGAAAGTACGTGGAGAGGGAATAAAGCTGCTAACACAAACATCTATCCGTTCTGGAAATTTTAACTCCAGCCTGGCAAATGAAGGTAGTAAAGACTCTTCCCTGAGTTTGAGACAAACACAGTGCAACAAGGCCAAGTGATCTTTCCTTTCACATTGTATTTCTTTCTGTGTTTTATTTCTTTGGGTTTGTGGATGCCTGTCTTGCTGCTTGCTTTGATTTCTGACAGACTGACTTTTGACTTGTCTGTGGGTTGGGTTTTTTTTTTTACTTTTTTTTCTGATTTCTTCTGATGTAGTAATTTTATCCTTTATTTCCTTCTCTACCATCACTTTTCAAGTTCCTTTTTCCTCTTCTCCTAAAGTGACTTGATTTAAGAGCACATAAATACTGTGCATCTGCACATGGGGTTTGAAATAACCTTGTCAGCAGTTTGGATTACCTAGTTTTCCTGATACTGCAGTCCATGCTTTGGAAGCACACGGTGTGTGTGCTGTGTGTCACTGGATTGCAGAACTTGAAAGACTGTCAGGATAGTAGTCACCTTTCCAGCTTTACAATCTGTGACCTGAGAAGTTGCCGTGGATTTTGGTTTTCTTCAGTTATGATTCACCATACCTAACTGTACGTAGCACAGTCAGAAGATGTGATCTTGTTTCTAATTGTGTATTATCTTTCTCAGCAACTGAGCCAGTTCTGGTACAGCAATGAAACTGCATCGTGTCTGGCTAAGGAAGCTGTTGTGGCAGCTGGAAAAGGTGGCAGGTAGGTTTTAGTGATTGCACTGTAGATGTCTTCTCTGTAAATGTTTTATTTCTACTCCGTAGACAGAGAATGCAGTTTCATTCATTACTCATTGTACTTCATCTCTGTTCAGCTGAGATATTTCAGAACTGCTTTGCTATTCTTATTTAGTTAATAGTTTACACTGTTCTTCCCATTAGCATTTTATTGAATGCTACAGGCTCTGCCTTGTAAAAGTTTACTATGAATCTTTTTATTTTTTGAGAAAAACAAAGAGCTCCAGAGCATATTAATGACCTGTCATTCTTTTCTCTGTTTTTATGCAATGTTTCTGTAGAACAGATGGGAAAAACTTGGGTTTCTTCCTATTTCTGTAGGGAGTGGTTTTTAATTTCAAGTTTTGAAATATATTTTCTTGCTTTTCCGAAACAAGATTTAATGTGTAGTTAAGCTCAAGGTCTGTGCAGCAATGATGTTGAACAAGTAATGGCTTTAATACTTAAAACTTGGATATTAAAGTAATTGGTTGTTAGAAGAATGGAGGAATAATAGCTTACATTTTTGGGACTGATGTTTAAAATGATTTCATAGAATCATAGAATTTTAGGGGTTGGAATGAACCTTACAGATCATCTAGTCCCAACCCTCCCTGCCATGGTCAGGGACACCTCCCACTAGACCAGGTTCCTGTGACTGCGATTTCTGACAAAGAGTCCCTCTCCATCTTTCCTGTAGTCCCTTCAGATACTGAACAGTTGCTATGAGTTACCACCCTCACAGGAAAAAACCTTTTCCTAATATCTAACCTGAACTTCCCCTCCTTCAATTTGAACCTGTTACCCTTTGTCCCATCATTGCAGTTCCTAACAAGAAGTCCCACTCTGGCTTCCTTGTAGCCCCTTCAGATATTGAAAAGTTGCTCTGAGGTCTCCACGCAGTCTTCTCCAGTCTGAACAGCCTCAACTTCCTCAGCCTGTCTTCATAGGGGAGATGCTCTTCCCTTCCACCTCCTAAAAGCCTCTTTTTCCCCCTGAGCTTCCTCAGCACTTCCTTATTCATCCATGGAGGCCTTCTGGCATTTTTGTCCAGTTTCCTCTGTGTCTGGATGCATTGGACCTGAGCTTGGAGTAGATGATCCTTGAATATCAGCCAGCAGTCTTGGGCCTCTCTGCCTTCCAGGACCTCATCCCAAGGGACTATGACAAGAAAGTCATTGAAGAGGCCGAAGTCTGTTCTCCTGAAGTCCAGGGCAGTGAGCTTGCTATGCACCTTCCTCACTGCCCTGAGCATCTCGAACTACATCTAATGGTCACTATAGCCAAGGCTGTCTTGAAGCACCACGTTCCTCACCAGCTCCTCCCTGTTGGTGAGCACAAGGTCCAGCACAACTCTTCCTCTTGTTGGTTCCTCGATCATCTGTGTAAGGAAGTTATCATTGACACATTTGAGGAACCTCCAGGATTGCCTATGCACTGCCACATTGCTCTTCCAACAGATATCAGGGTGGTTGAAATCCTTGAGGACTGCTCTAGGGGGTTTATTGTTGCTTTTTGCCTCTTAAATTAATATCCTAAGTTATTGTGTGTTTTTCAGGATAGCATGTGTTAGTGCACCGAGTGTGTACCAGAAGCTGAAAGAACTGGATGGCAAAGATTTCTCAGTATGTATACTGGAGTATGACAGGAGGTTTTCTGTATATGGAGAAGAATTTATCTTCTATGATTACAACAACCCCTTGGACTTACCTGAAACTCTCCTGCCACACAGTTTTGATATCGTAATAGCAGATCCACCCTATCTGTCTGAGGAATGTCTTCAAAAAACTGCAGAGACCATCAAATATTTAACAAAAGGAAAGATTCTGCTCTGCACAGGTATGACTACTAAAAATATTAGGTCTCCTTAAGCATCATTTTTTCTCTCTCAAAACAAACTTATTCATGTGAGAGAAATACTAACTCAATAATACTAAATTACCATTAATTTAAGAAGGAATATGTATCCTAAGCTTTTTATTTGAATACTCAAGTTCAGCCTTGATTTTACACTGAAGGCAAGTGATTTTTAATAGTTCAAGCCAGTGCTTCTTTCCTATGGCACTGTGAGTTTTCCTGAATTTTTGAAGAATTTTAAGATCACCCTGCAAAGTTCCAGAAATACTTATTTTTTCTTGTGAAAGGGCCACTATAATTGCAATGATTGAAATCTGGGCATGGCAGACATAGGTGCAACTTATTCTTTATGCCTTATTGAATAACTTTTATTTTCATGTTACTTGTCCTTACTGGTAAACATAAAAAGAGTAATGTGAGTGAATGTGTGAGGGGATTCTGCCACTGTGATTCAAGTGAGGATATCTTAGGCACAGCAGGAGGAATTAAAAACCTGTGATAAGAGCAGTGAAACTAGATAACTGCACTTTCAGGTCTTTCTTGATGAAGATGTACTTGTGTCTGCCTTCACGGTGTTTCTTAAACTGTAATGCTATTACAAGACAATAAAGACATCCAGGAAGTCTTTGCAAAAAGCCAAGGGCAAAAACCCTCTGTGTGTACAATTTGAGGGAAGTCAACCAAGGGAAAATAAAGAATACATTACAATAACCTGTGGCCATAGAAAGCCTAATTCTTGGTTTAGCTGCACATGGCAGTTGTGCACAAGGATGGTTCTCTGAGCTCCTTTCCCTAAAATGGATAGGTGGTCCTTCAGTTTACAAAGTTTGAGAAATACTGCTCGAGGAAGTGATTTCTCAGTGTGTAGCTGCAAGTACCACGCTGCAGTTTATTTAAGTGGAAGAGTATATGTAATCTGTTTGCATTTCCCATGGCTCCCTACCATTTAACTTCCTTGGCATGCAGCAAGAAGACTGAGTTCAAGGCACTGATACACTCTACCTATTTTTATGCCATTTCTCAGCCATTCATTTCCTTGGGGTGTCTTCCATCCTGTTAGATTTATATTAGATTCCCCAGTAGATTCAGTTGTTAGGGAAGGCTGACAGTGTAGCTGCTTTAAGCCTTCCTTCCATAAAAAAAAGCAGGCTCTATGTATATGCATTTGGCAGGAGCTACTAAAAAAGTCCGAACATTCTGTTACTGTTTTTCTTACTGAATACCAATTTTTTTTGCTGCAGGTGCAATCATGGAGGAACAGGCAGCGAAGCATCTTGGCGTGAAGATATGCAAGTTTATTCCGAAACACTCGCGAAATTTAGCCAACGAGTTTCGATGTTACGTGAACTATGCCTCGGGGCTGGACTCATAACATCTACAACTTTTGCAGTCAAGCTTTTTTCTGTTGTTTTACCAGTGACTCCACGTTTCTCAGTGCTGAAATATTCAGCTCCAAATCACCACAGTGTGATAGCCTCCCTCTCTTCAATGAGCAAGCACTTGCAGTTACTGTGCTTTGTATCTTTACCTCTTAGGTAAATGTGGACCAAGGAATGCAGGTGCTGGATAATGGGAACTCCTCTGTTAGAGTTTCATTCTAGCTGGTAGCTTTTACCATTGAAGGACACTTCAGTGACCTTTTTTAAGTGATTTGGCTTATAATAACACAGGTGCTTGCCTTGCTTACATCAGAATCATCATTGCAGAAGAACTTGATACTTCTGTAATAACATAACCTATACATGTTAGTCCCTTAAATCCCAAATCATAGTGGCTCTGATTAAATACAGTGCCTGCTTTTCAGCAGATTTCAGTAGCAAATTAAAGATTATTTACTGGTATGTCAGGTTTATAGGTACAAGAACAAGTGGTTGGGTTTTTTTTCCAGTTGCCCATTTTTATGTTTCCCTCCTGTTCCGGTGACAGCAGCAGAGCAGAATAGAAGCATCTTAGAAATCATTAAATCTTACAAGGCCACTGAGGTATAACATAATGTATTGATAAACTCAGACAGTTTCTAACAGAAAAATTTTAGCTTTTATATACAAGGTTTGGACTGTATCTCAGTCAAAACAGATGATACAGTAGAAAAACTTTGCTTTGGGATAGCAGAGATTTTTGGCAACTGGGAATTTTTAAAGCCAGTTTTGACTAACCTTTTGACTCCACGGCTAATGTGCATTTGGGCGGAAGTTGGTTCATAAATTTCAAGGCACTCAGTACTTCTATAAATACACTCTACAAAACACAAATACATGTCTTTATGTGCTGTATTATGTAAAAGGCTAACAGAAATGCTGTGTCTACAAAATTAATCACCTAAAATGAAGTATTAAAAACATTATGTTGGGAATAAACCTAATTAAACTTGAGAGACGAGACTTTTTATAAGGTAGAGATAATGCCCATGTTTCTGTGCATTTCTGCTGTTTGGCTGCAGATTTTCCCATCTGGTGGAGTAAATAACTGAGCAGGAATACTGTAGATGGAATATAATCCTCTCTTAGTGCTCAGAGAACTGTGCTGCCTGAGCTGGACAGAAGAGAGGTACACAATCACCCATCCAAGCTCTTCTCTTTTCCATTTTTGAAGAGATCTGTTTACTTCCTGAGGATTTTCCTTCCTCACGTTTTTATACATGCTGCTTCCTCCCCATGTAGTATTCCTGAGTTTCATGATAACAGTTTTCTTTCTCTTTCACACACCTTGGTTTCTGTCAGACTGTAACAGGTGTTGTTAAAATGAGAGGCACAGCAGAGGAAGCGCCACTGGGCTGGCCTGACAGTCTCTCTGAGCCCAAGGCAAATACAGCCTTGCCTTTCAAACCAGAAGCCATGCTTGCTGCCAAGCCAGAATCCCCCCAAAAAATGACTGTCCACAGGTGACATGCAGCTGGGTGTAGTTCTTTTGCAGGTGGCTACACCATCACTTCTATGTGCACAGTTTCAAAGTAAAGCAAACCAGAATGTTAGCTGCATAGCTGTTGGCATGAACCTGTACTTCACAGCTGTAGTCTGGTTTATGTTTGTTACTTCAGTGTCTTGCACACTGAGCAGATGGAGACAATGGAATAACTCCTGAAACTTTATGTACCTGAAACTTTAACTATGTAGAGGATTCAAGTGGGACAGGTATTGCCAGAAGGGATAATATTCTTCCTGCACCACTCACCTAATAGAACATGCTGTTCAAATTGTAACTTCACCTATGTTGCTGCTTTGCTATTAATTGCTTCAGTTGTTTGTTTCATGTGGGTAAATACGTGTTGTTGGGCTCTCTACAGCAGAATTAAAGACAACTTTGCTATCTTCATTGAAGACCTTTCTTAAAAAATAAAAGTACAGCAGTCAGTTGTACCAAGAAGTTCACTTCCAAGAAAAGAACTGCTCTTTCTCACAAGTAGGTCAGACAGCTTTGAAAAGAGGCACTGTGAAGATGCACAGTCAGGAAAATAAGGGTAGATGTAAATCTGTGCAGATGCACTCAACAGAGCAGCCCCTTGTCCACTGGCTTCCCTCCTAAAAGCCTGGTGAGTGCAGGCAGCTGCCCAAGCAGAGCTTGACTAGTGGCATTTACAGCCTTCATCAGTGATGGGAGATAAACTATTTTTGTCATACTTGATTCCAAGGAAATAACTATTTCTGAGAAGGGAACAAGTCACAAAAATTCATAGTGAGTTTGTGCTTTGTGCCATCATGGTAACTTCAAGAAATATCATGTGACAGCACAATCTCTCTTTTCTTCTGTAATAGGATTATGAATAAAATAGTGCCAAGTAGAGATTGACTTTCTTTATTGTGGATGTCCCATGCACAGACTTTCTGTTGGAAGACACTGGTGAAGTGTTACCACCATGCTGCTTTTCCAGTGGCATTTACGATTGCAGCCATAGGTGCTACAGCCTCAGCTGCAGGATATCTCAGTGCCCTGCTGTCTGCTGGAATGTGACACTGGGCAGAGAAAACCTGGGGGCTGTGCACAGGCTGGTGGCTGTAGGTGGAAGAGAATATCCTGCAGCTGCCTGTACCTGAAACATTTCTAGAAAGGCTGTTGCGTGAAGTCCAAGGTACTTACTACTTCCAATAATATGTGCACAATGGTGTTGCTCTCAGCTTGATGTTGCACAGGTAGCCCATCCCTGTGCCACACAATTGCCTGCACCCATGCTCCTCTACCAGCATAACTGGGAGGTAACTCTGTTGGCTAGTTCTGTCACTCTCCCTTGGTTACCCACATGGAGCAGCCCCAGTGCCATGCACTGGGGTGGGAAACAGGGCAGCTGGGTTTGGTTTGGGTTGCAGAAGCCCCTTGTCAGCTGGTGTCAGAGCTGTGCTGCTGCTCTGCATCTTGTGTTCTTCAGCCTTCTCAGACAGGAGTACAGCAAAACGAAGTGGTAGCTCATGCCAGTACACAGTAAACCACATAGTATTCACTTGACCTCCCTCGTGTGCCCTAGTCCAGGTAGTCACAGCTGTTCCCTAACCCCAGCGAGATGAATGGGTGTTCATACTTCCTGAGTACAGGTCTTTTTCCCTGTTTCTCTTGCTGCTTTTGTGTTCATGTTTCCCCATGCAATTCCATGTTTACTTGCAGCTGTAGATCTCCACCTATTCAGACACACACAGGTCTCCACCTATTCAGACACCTTCAGGTCATGACTGGCAAGTAAATCCAAACTAGCATCTCAGGCTTTCCTCAGCCTTCCTGAATGATAGGAATTTTCCAACCTATCTTAAGCGATACTACAGAGAAGAAAATAATCTCTTTACCAAGGATATTGTTCTGTGTTTTGTGGCTCCTAATGTGTTCCAGGGACAACCTCATTGAAGGAAAAGATTTTCCTGGCACAACAAAAAAATTTCTCAAATCAGCTGCAGCTGCCAGATAGTTCCAGCTTTGAATTGTTTGCATTTATTGGGCCTGGAGTTGGTTCAATGAGGCATTTCATGTCTGCCTTCTGTCAACAGTTTGTGAAGCCTTGAAACAACTCCAGTGAGCCCTCCCTCCCTCCCCACCATGCAAATTAAAGGCAAGGCTGCAGCAGCTGGAACCAGAGGGCTAGAAGCTGGAAAGTGTCACACCACAGTTGATATAAATCCATGATGTGATGATCTTGTTTAAAAAAAAAAAAGAAATCCAAACAAATGCAAATTACATTTAATACCCAACCTTTTCCACATGAGTAATGTGGAGAGGAAGGATATTTTGAAGGTTAACAAATGTTTGTGTAGCTAATCGTTCTTGATGTTAAGTATCAACAAACAGTTGCTCACTAACAATACCAAACAGTTGCTCACACTAAAGCATAAACATAGCTTTCAGCAAACACCTAACTAGAAGCTGGATCTGGAAGCAAAACTGGCTCAGCTAAAAAGTCTGCTGCAGAACAGGATGAGGATTACCAAGGAAAATGGGCTCTGAACAAGGTAACCATGAGAAGCTTTCTGCACTTGTTGCAGTATGATGAGGTGGTCACCAGCATCCATGCTCTGTTGATCCACTGAGGTTTTCAGTTCTTTAGTACTTTCAGTCATCCAATTTCAGAAGCTATACGTAAGCTCAAGCATCTTTTTCTGGACTGGAGAAACTGGTTAAGTTCCATTTACCTGATCTTAGCTTACAGCTCCCAGAAATCCCCAGAACATGCTGTAGTTACTTGAAAACCTCAAAATGACTCCATAATGAATGCCTGTAGGACATAAGAACTGCAACAAAAAATGAGATTTGTTTTTTTTCTCCACATCATACAAATATATCCATGTGCTCTAATAACTAATTTGTTGCAGACACATTTGTATAACAAAAGTGTGTGGGCAGACAGGTGAGTTCTGCTGGAGGGCAGTGTTTACCCAGAGTTTTAGCTGGTAGCCCCTCTGGGTGTTTACTGAATGTTAAGGGCTGTGTGGTTTGACATTTTGTTGTTGTTTGGGGTCATTTTACTGCTTTTTATGGTGAAGACTTTGCTTTCTGTGCTGTGGAGTTGGAAGGTCCAACTTCAGCCTATCTGAAGTGTGTGTGTGGAGAAAAACTCCACAATGAGTAGTAATAGTGAAACCATAAGACGTCAGGCTGAAACATCATCTAATGCAGTGTTTCTCCATTTTTGTGGGTCTGCCTCCCTTTTGACCTCCTCTGATCACCCTTCTCAGAGGGTGAGTTCTCCCACATTAGGAGGAAGGAAAAGTGGTTGTAACTGCTGCAAGTATTTACATTCTCTGGGGAACAGGTAACTACTTATAATTGCTGGCAGCAGCTAGGCAATTAGCTGTTCTCTGAGTAGCATAAACACTTGACGACCTTTGAACTCTCCTTGAGGATCCCCTTGGGATAGAAGCATCACAATTTGAGGAAAAACAGATCTAAAGACAAGTAGAACTGAGGAAAAAGATCTGCAAAAGAAACACAGCTAGCAACTCCAATCTGACATTGTGATGGGTATCTTTTATTGGTTTCTGGACTTCTTAAAGTTATTTTAGGCTTTGTAAGAAGTTATACAGATTGCACTGCAAAAATATTGTTATGCTATAATGAGTCATAGAAAGCACAGTCAAAAATCATGCACCAAGACAAGGAGTTCTCATATGACTTTCATTCTCTATTTAACTTGTTAATTCTGGTTAGCTCATAGTCTTTCCATTCTTCATCCAACAACACTCCAAAGAAGTGTGTGTTTGTGTAATGTAGGGACTTTATCCACTATGAATTAAGCCAAATTTTGAGACTGTTGATGTAGCAAATACATTGCTGCATATGTTGTTTATTCTTTTTTGTGAAGATGTTGCAGCCATGATCCTTCAACTGTAAAAGACATTCTCTGTTGTGTATTCAGAGGTTTATCAATTCTGGCGAGTGTGGCCCTCTGAGGAGCTGTGTCTGTGCCAGGCACGCCCGGATATCCCTGATTCTCATTCACTACACTGAGTCAACATTCTGTCTCTTGTTCTGGAGAGGCAAGTTTTTCTGTATCCAGGGTTTCTGGTTAGGGCTTGCCATCAAGTTCCATCAGCAGTAAGCTGCACAGATGGAAGATGGCACTTCTGCAGACTAGCAGCTTTTGCAGGTGATTGTCTGTGATGTGTAGCATAGGGAAAAATGAGTCATTGATTGTGTACATCAGTTGGATTTAATACGTTTGGATTGGCTGGGACTCACCTCAGTAACCTCCTGTAGTATCTAGAAGTTAAGACCTAGCCTGCTTACTCACCTGCACTGTGCCTGAGATGAAACCTATCCTATGCACTTATTTCTAATGGGGAATCTCCTCTCCTAACATGAAGAAGGTTTTGGCCTTTCAACTGCCCAGAATACAGTTATATCACAAAAAAACAGTTAAACAGTTACTGATGGATGAAATCTTATACAGAATTCTTGGGACCCAGACCGTGTTTTTTCTAATTGCTATTTTCTGTGGAATTAGACTTAGTCCACATCAGAAAAGTCCACTGCAATTTTCTAATATTCTATTATGGGCTTTTTTCTCAACACTTTTGCACCCTTAGCAATTTGGCAAGTTTAAAAATAGCAAACACATAGAATATTGTTTCATGAATGACTCTAACTCAGCAAAGGTTTCCTTGCTGTAGCATATAAATAGCCACAGATATAACAGCCAAGAACACTACATGGAGTTTATGTAATATAAAGGAAGAGCCTCCCAGCCTGAGAAATTATCCTTTTAAACTCCTGATTTGGCACACGTATGGCAGATATGTGGTTTTTATATAAGGGTACTTAAAAGTACAGTATAAGAGATTCCTTAAAAATGTCTACAACCAGTAGCCTGCTGTAGTATTAGCTAGTGTGTCTTAAGAGTTGCACCATCTTCTAAAACTTACTGTGGATAAGCAAAGATAAAATGTTCTGCTCTAAGAAAAAAGAGAAAGGCTAATTTGGAATTTGCAAAATGAACTAAACATGTTCACTAAACAAGTGTATATGAACTAAAGAAGTTCTTAATATGAATTGCCATCTCTGATGATCTGAGTGACTGGACAAAACTTTCCATCTTGTAACCGAAATAACTGTGAGCAGACAAAGAGGGTAAGTCAATGTGTTTGCTGCTGTAGAGCCGTTTCCTGAGGTGGTGAAACCATGACATGAGGCCAAGTACTGTGACATGACTTCTAATAGATTCTTCATTCTGAGGACGGCTTGTTCTGGCTTACCAGCAACTTCACTTCTTGCTTATCTATGCTGGAGTTGACGCTTTCAGCCTCTTTTTCTGGCTCAGGCACACACGTACAGCCCACAGGGATGGTGATGTAGTCCTCGGTGTAGACGTAGCGGCCCCCAGCACAGGAGGAGGTGCGGCGCAGGATCACCGTGGGCATGTACACGGGGGTGCTGCGGAAGTGGAAATTCTCCTCGCCAAAGATCCCCATCAGGCAGCCCTTGCACAGGCAGTATGCTTCAGGAATGTATTTGGGGTATCTTGTGGGATCATAGGAAATTCTACAGGGAAGCAAACCGTAAACATTCATTAATATCTCTAAAAATAGATATATGCACGTGGGATTATATAATGTTAGATATTGTCCCAATTGTTATATCATGTTTTTCTTGTCGTTGCTAGGACAAAGCAGCTGTGGCTGTTGCTGTCTGGCTTCTAATTTGTGAAGTGTAAAGAAAAAAACATGAACAACTTATAGAGCTGATCAGGTCCTACAGTGCACACAGAGTTATGGAGTGTCTCGATTTCTGTATTGTAAGATTCAGAGGTTTAAGCAGATTAAGTTTTGCATTTTGGACCGAGTGGGTAAATAGAGCATTAAAAAGGGCACTTGGGCATTTCCAAGCTTTTGATCTGCCTCGAGTTCTTCAAAAATTGGTACAAATCCTTGTTGACATTATTATTGTTGAAGCCATGACATGATGTTTTAAGATTTTATAATTTAAATAGAATTGAATTGCACTGTTATTTCTGCAATAGGTTTTGCTCCCTAGCGTACTTAGGGTCATAATAGGGCCTTCCCCTCAAAAGCAGAACTCTCTATTTCTTTCTCATAATTCACCTCCACTGTCTCTTCCTCTAACCAGAGAAAAGTAACATTTCCATGCCCACACTGAGAAAAGCTGCAATATCAATGCTTTTTTCTGCCCTCTCCTGCTACATTTGGAAGTAAAGCAAAGCTTCAAGAATATAGCCTAGGGTTGGTTTCTTGTGGTAGTTTTTTTTGTCTTCCAAGTTGTTGTTGTTTAACCCATTTTTTTTATTAATGCCCTGTCTCTGGAAATTCCTGATTAGCAGGAGCTGGAAAGCTTGTCACCTAACTACAGCTTGAACCAACAAAGTCTAAGTTCTGTCATTCCTCTCTGGAGTTGTAGGATGCAGAAACAAAGAGGTGATGCTCTGGTCTTGAGTCACACAGATCCTGGCTGACCTATAGCCATTGTTTTTAGCAAAGAGAGTAAAAGCTGATAAAGTCTGCTTGTGTTTTTTTGAAATTAAAGACCAAGTGCACCGCAGAGTACATGTACTGGAGTGTGTAACCACAGTGCTTACTGTGGTGGTGATGTATTTGTTGCTTTGTTCCTCACCCACTTTTCCTGCTTATACTGGAAGTAATTGCTGGGCATGGCTGTAACTTGTGCTGTCACACTGTTACAGAACTAGCCCTGCTTCAGCACTGCCTGCACTGTTCAGCCAGAGAGGGATGATGGCTCTCTTTGGCTGAAGAAGTGTTCAGCCCAGAACCATGGCCAGGGACCTCTCAGTGCTCCTCCCCTAGGGCCCATCCCCACTTTGGGAGGATGCTGACCTCCCACATGTTATCAGAAGCACATGCCCACCTGTTGAGTAACAGAAAACCCTTTTCTGCCCTTTCTCCTGCTCCTACTTTCACAAGTTATATGGTCAGATCTACACACAGTGCATAGCAGAAGTATCCTACAGGCTGATACTGGCACACAGAGAGCATGAAGACTCACTGGGAGATCACCTAGTCCAAACGACTCCATGAGGCAAGCTCAGGTGTATTTGCCACTGTTTGTCCAGCCTATTCTTAAAAGCCTCCAGCAGAGATCCCCAGCCTGTTCAGAGGCTCTGTTGCAGCACTTTGCTTCTTTACCTGCTAAGTTTTCCTAACAGTGGAGCATTTTTTTCTGCAAAACTGCATCAATAGTTTCCCATGTTCAGAGGATAAGTCACAGTTGCTGAGCCTAAGAAAATGAGTAAGAAAGGTTTGATGCCAGAGAGAATGTTCAAGCCTGTGATGTCTACCATTAAGTAAAAACTCTTGCACTGGGTTTTAAGCCGCCCTCTACTTGGGATCAGGATAGAACCACCGTGCAATAGATGCAGTGAGGCAACTATGTAAAAATGAATCAAACACCTGTCATCAATGTAATTATTTATGGGATAATACAAACTACTGCGTATACAATACCCCCTTTCCACAGCAGTTTCAAAATAACTGATTTTGAAAACCACAGCAGAATCACAGAATGGTTTAGGCTGGAAGGGACCTAAAAGACCACCTGGTTCCAAGCCCCCTGCCATGCCATGGGCAGGGACACCTTCCACTAGACCAGGTTGCTCAAAGCCTCATCCAGCCTGGCCTGGAACATTTCCTGGGATGGGGCAGCCACAGCTTCTCTGGGCAACCTATACCAGTGCCTCACCACCCTCACTTCCTAATTCTTCCTAGTATCTGATCTAAATCTTCCCTCTTTCAGTTCAATGCCATTACTCCTTGTCCTATCATTGCATGCCTTTGTGACAAGTCCCTGTCCAGCTCTCTTGTAGGCACCCTTCAAGTACTGGAAGGTGCTACAATGTCTCCCCAGAGCCTTCTCTTCTCCAGGCTGAACACCCCCAGCTCTCAGCCTCGCTTCATAGGAGAGGTGCTCCATCCCTCTGAGCATCTTTGTGAGCCTCCTCTGGAGTCACTCCAACAGGTCCATGTCCTCACACTGGGGTCCCAGAGCTGAATACAGTACTCCAGGTGAGGTCCTTTAATAGCTCTTAGTGTTCTTAATAGATTTAAAGGGATTTCTAAATTGTGTTTTGCAGGGTTTGCAGCACTTCCTTGGGTATCTTTTCAGTCAGAGGTTTCAACTATGGAAGAGGCAGCATAAGTTTGCCTCAAGCTGTGATTTCAGTGACTGCCAATCAACAAAATCTGCGCTTGAAAAACAGGCAGCCTGGCTCTCCCTCTCACATCCACCCCTGGGTCGACGGGAATGTTTTTCTAGTCAAAGGATTGATTAAGGAATTCAATGAACTGAAGAGTAACTTCATCAAAACCTTTGTGACCCTGTCCAGCTCTCTTGTAGGCACCCTTCAAGTACTGGAAGGTGCTACAATGTCTCCCCAGAGCCTTCTCTTCTCCAGGCTGAACACCCCCAGCTCTCAGCCTCGCTTCATAGGAGAGGTGCTCCATCCCTCTGAGCATCTTTGTGAGCCTCCTCTGGAGTCACTCCAACAGGTCCATGTCCTCACACTGGGGTCCCAGAGCTGAATACAGTACTCGTAGGCACCCTTCAAGTACTGGAAGGTGCTACAATGTCTCCCCAGAGCCTTCTCTTCTCCAGGCTGAACACCCCCAGCTCTCAGCCTCGCTTCATAGGAGAGGTGCTCCATCCCTCTGAGCATCTTTGTGAGCCTCCTCTGGAGTCACTCCAACAGGTCCATGTCCTCACACTGGGGTCCCAGAGCTGAATACAGTACTCCAGGTGAGGTCCTTTAATAGCTCTTAGTGTTCTTAATAGATTTAAAGGGATTTCTAAATTGTGTTTTGCAGGGTTTGCAGCACTTCCTTGGGTATCTTTTCAGTCAGAGGTTTCAACTATGGAAGAGGCAGCATAAGTTTGCCTCAAGCTGTGATTTCAGTGACTGCCAATCAACAAAATCTGCGCTTGAAAAACAGGCAGCCTGGCTCTCCCTCTCACATCCACCCCTGGGTCGACGGGAATGTTTTTCTAGTCAAAGGATTGATTAAGGAATTCAATGAACTGAAGAGTAACTTCATCAAAAGCTGGGTTTTGGTCCCTCAACTCCTGCCATATGAACCACAGAGCTCTACACAAACAAACCACCATGAACAAGTGGCTGTAGATGGGGGCAGAAGGGAGATGCCCTTTTCAGAAGTATCACCAGTTTATTAGGTTAAGACAAATCTAGAATCAGAGGTTTGGCTGAACACAAACACGATTATGCTGTCATCAAAGAAAGAGGTTTTTTTATATATATAAATTTAAAGCATTTGTTTTCCTCACAGAAGAATCTGACCAGTTCTCCCACAGCCAGACATCTGTGATGTTGCAGATATTTTTTGCAAAGCTTCTCTGTCCCATTTACGCTTGCTTACTTTCCCCAAGAAATATCTTCATGTTACAGGATCTCAGGCCAGTGGAAATAAAATGTCTGGTAGCCAGAAGAGGGGAAGAAAGGGGAATACAGGTCCTTCTGCTGTGATACATCCCTATTTCAAACTCGTGTGAGTAATTTCAGTGGTGGATTGCTAAACACCCCATATGTCAAGTTACTGGTATTTCCTCTACTGCATTATCTCTAGCACCTGGTTTATGATGTTACTGGAAAGCATGAACATGTTTCTGGATGCAAACATAACAGTTTTCACAAATAACAGGGGAACACTCACTGGAATCATGGTCTACAACAAACTTTCCCCTCCAAGTTCCCACAAGGCAAAAGTCAGGAATAAATAGGGGGTTTTTTGGAAGGATGGTGTGGCTGTAGCATGGTTTTATACTTTCCAAGGAAAAAATCTCTTATATTACTATGTTTGATGTAGACACCTCTACTCCATCATGTGAGGATTGGAAGGAATCAGACAGGATCCAAACCAAATGATAGATTCAAAATATAGATGTGGTTTTGTATCCAGACCAGAACTTCTAGGCTGAAGGCTCCAAGTAACACCTCCTGAAATTAGTAGCTTAACTCAAATGTCACTAAAATTTGGGGCCATATACAAGGTTCTGCATCTTCAGCTCAAACCTGTTCAGAAAAGCCATATAACTAAAGACTCATTTTTATCTTTCTAGGCAACCCAGACTTACTTGGGTCTGAACCACTACCAGACACCAGTGACCCAGCTGGATAAATGCAGTTGTGTGATCTTCTTCCTTTGTTTGCATGAATTGAACATAATCACCCCATGCAGGTAACGACCACTGCCTCAGCTGCTGTAGTTTGATGCCTCTCCTTATTCTAAGCACTACAAGTCATGTTTTTACATCTTCTCCTAGAACAGGGCCAACATGTTAATTAACCAGATAAAATGCAGGCTCCAAGTCCCCACTGACTCCTTCCTACATGTAGTGAAAGATACACCCAGCTGGGATGGAACCAACAGAAGCAGCTGGGAAGAGTGACGGACGACAAGAGAAGTCCAACTTTCCACTGGCACCCAAGTGTCCCCTGCTGCCTCATGTCATTTGCCATGGTCCCTGCTGCAAACTAGACAGCCCAGTCATTTTGAGAGGATTGCCCTCGTCCTGTGAACTCAGGTCACTA